GGTGGTATTTTTAGTTAAGATTATAAAATTGGGGGTATATACCGCTATTTCCCTTTTTTTTAACTGAATCAATATACCCGTGTGTTTTACTGAAAATATCAGTTTACTAGTGACTTTGTAACTTAAAAAGATGTAATTTGAGACACTCATGAGGCCTCACTAACAATTTTTCCCGGATTCAAACCATACCCCTCATTAAAAATCCAAGACCATTAAGAGAATACTCTATTTACCACTATATTAATTTGAGCCATATTGTCCACTTACAATTAATCACATCAAGAGACAAGATCATGACCGCACCAAAGAAAGCATTGGCCATGGATGCAATTAAAGTTGATATGTTTAAAGCTAGTGTTGTGGTGTTTTAAACAACCTGCAAAATAGAGATTGTTTCATACACACATTATACTCGTAAGTGCATGAACCGCTGATGGTAAAACTTATGTAAGTGCGAAGTCAATCTCATAAGGACTGGATTTTAAATTTAGAATTAATGTAACTTAATTTACATCACAAGACACTTCTATTACTTTAATATAAAGAAGAAAATTAAACACGTAGTATACTCACATAAACACAAAGGAGGCTTTTGAATAATTGGTTTTATTAAGTAAGACAATTCAAAATTAAAGGACGAAAACAAGTACAAAATCACACACATAAATAATATAGAATAAAATGTGCATAAAAATTGTAAAAGTGCCAGGGCCATGTCTTCACCACTAGTAATCCAACCTAGCCTCTCATTCACCTATCCAATAATTAATCCAATTGATTGTTCCCACTTAGTTTTCCTTTGCCATGAATTACCTATGGTATTTAGGCTAACCCAAATATTTCTACATGCAATTCACCTATGGTATTTAGGTCAAATATTAACACATAGAAACTCATTAAGATCAATGAAAACTCTGCAACAAACATGCAAACCCTAAGTGTATGGTATTTACCCTAGAAGAATTACAAATCTTAATCACAAGAAAATCAATCAAGTTATTAAACACGGTGATTAAGAATCCAACATCAAAAGGCAATCAGTAGATAACACGCACGAGAAAACTATATTATCACACTAGGGTCACAACATGCCCTAACTAAGTAGTTTTATTTAAAGAAATAAAAGTAAAACATTCCAAAGCTAAGAAAATTCATGAAGGAAAATCTAGTGAAAGGGTTTTATTACAAACAATTGAGAGCCCGGGGAGCCCAAAAAATGCTCTTTCCAATGGACTCTTGCTGCCAATTCTCAATGAAAGTTATCGAAAATATTAATATTCCTTGACTGCACAACTGCAGTTTGGGGCCCGTTCCTCCTCTCAATAAATTCTTGAAAAATATGGAACTTGAAGCTCATTGTCTTATCTTTCCAACCATATATAGCCCATCTCAAGGAAAAATCAGAAAGACCTTCAACTATCATTTGTGGCACAATAACGCAGATGCTTCCGAATTTCACCTTAAGCTGCCTTATCTTGAAATACTGCTCTGATTGGCTGCTCCAAAAATTCTAGAGGAATTACAGAGGCATCTTCAAGCTCATAGCTTCACTCTCCGATTGGCCTTGCACATTAATTCCACCAAAAAATGATATTGATTGAAAATCAATTAAGTACTCCAGAAAACTGAAAATGCAGAAAATAAAGTAATAAGTCTTCTTTAAAACAAATTCTCTTACAAAAACTAACTAACAAGGGTGAATAAATGAATATATTTATGAACCTATCAGCTAGCTTAGGACAATAATATTTTTTTGAAAAAGAGGAGTTTTATTTCATAAAGAACCATAAAAGAAGGTGGACAAGTAATCCAACAATAACAGGAAGAAAAAAACAATCCTAATCAAGACAGTGCAGCCTTCCAATCAAGCAAAATACTTTGATAGGAGAAACAGAAGCCCAAAGTGCTGCCCAATACCTTGCCTTTTCCCACACCTCCTCCACATCCGCCCCCCTGACGTCTTCAAAAATCCGTTGATTTCTTTCCCACCATATAGCCCAAACAATACCCAACACCAGACAGCCCCAGATTAATTTAGCCTTTTTGCCACCTCCTAATATTTTGAACTTTTCACTGAAAAATGAAAAACAGTCCTTTGGCACCAGTGGTGAAGTTTTAAATAAGAGACTCTACAGTTTCATAGCAAACTATTAACAACTAACAGACTTGTTTTTTATCTCAACTAAATCAAATAGAATATATTGCTAGCCTAAGCTAATAATTCTGAGAACCATACAAAAATATTAAGTTAAACTGGCAAATATTTCTCATTGAATGATCTATCACTACCTTTTCTCAAGCTATAAAGCTGGAAAACGTACCTGTTCTTTTCTTGTTTATTAAAAAGAAAATTAAGTAGTAGCACTTTACTTCAAATGCCAACTTGTTTCCCTTAAGAAAATAATAATTCAAGTTACACCCTGCCTGTTTTCATCTGTTCTGCATTTATTAGTTCACCCAGGAACGATGTCACTGATTGACAACCAGCATTAATTAAACGATGCATGTACTGCCAACCTAGCAATGCCATAGATTTAAATATTGTTAAAGGAAAGAAGCACAATAGATGAAGACTGAGGTAGAGGCCACTGCTCTCCAGTTTCTTTCAAAGAACACAAAAAACCATAAAAAGATTCTAGACCCTATTCCTGAATTTGCAGTTTGTGACATATAATTTTGTTTCTTCCTTAAAAAAGGAAAGAAAAAAAGAAAGTTGTTCTTAAAACCATCTGACCAATTTTATTTTAAAATTTTTAATTTGGTTTAGGCTAAAATAATCTCTCTCCATCAGAAGAATAAAAAATAAAACAAATTCAGGCAATAGTACTCACTTTCCATGAAACATGTTCAAAAGCATAAAGTGCACGCTATGAATATTAAAAGAAAAATACTATAATAAAGTTGACAGTGACACATATACAAACACCATGTCTGTGTCTGTAGCACCTATGAAATCACGCGCTGGCTCCTAATGTACATTAGAGGAAACATATTTTACGGTCTCACAACTTGCCTACGACAACACTACCGAAAGATCAACCAGCATGGCCAACCTATAATTATCTTGTTGTATAAAAAATAATAAATATCCTACCTATCCAAACGAAAGTGGGAAATTATTTCATTCAGTTCCTTGTGATATGAGAAGAATGAACCTGCCTTGATAATTTTAGATCACAGATAGCTCCCAAAATCCAGTTAGCCAGAGCATCACCACCAGCAATCTGAGAAGAAATACATGCCAGAAAGATACACTGCAAATACCCAAAAATGAACTGGAGAAAATAAATCAGAAAGGTACGTCAGGTGTAAATGAAAGTGTGGACGCATTGCCTTGCCTACATCGATAGATGTAACACATTACTGACTATACTTCTCATCCACTTTCGAACTTCATTAGCAAAACGAAAACACTTAACCTTTTCTAGAGTATCATGAACCCTCTTTAGCACCACCTCAGGGTTCTCCGTCCTTACGTTTTCTTAAAATCAGAAATCTCTTCGAGCACAGCATAAACCTAGGAAAGAAAATATGCTCTCACCTTAACCAAAGTTGTAAAGGCGCATGTTTCAATTATAAAGGATAGAATCTCCTTTTGCAAACAATCTTATTGAAGTGCCTTTTTCAAGGAGCAACAGCCATCAAGAAAAGTACCTGTTTTTTACCAAGACAACAGCAAAATTCATCAAATAGTCTTTCTCCGAGCTGTTCATGTGTCATATCAAGAAACACCAACACTGGGCAGTTTGGTATATGGACTGCAGGTTCAGCTTCCAGACCAGGTTCAAGCAATTCATAAGCTATATGTACATCTCCTTCGAGAAGCGGTTTGACCTACAATTTCGTTTGCAGTTTTGTTATTGCAGGTAAAAATAATTTTGGTGATCCAAAACATAATAACACAACATTAAAATCACCATATCAATTTTCCTTCTTGAAGTACAATTTTCTTCTGTAAAAGCAGTTGAAAAGAGTATGCTAGTCTTAAGAACATGAGATTCAACATAATATGCAGAGAAATATGAACAAAGAGGCTAGCAAAATTCAACTCATATACCTATATAAATCTAACAAACAAAGAAGATAGAAAGTCCGGAGCAAAAAGTTGAGAAGAGTAGTCAATTTTTTCTTAAGAAGCATTTAATACTTACTGCCAACCACTATGCTAGTCTTAAGAACATGAGATTCAACATAATATGCAGAGCAATATGAACAAAGAGGCTAGCAAAATTCTACCCAAACAAAGAAGATAGACAGTCCGGAGCAAAAAGTCGAGAAGAGCAGTCAATTTTTTCTTAAGAAACTACATTCATTGATTTAAAAAAGCAAATACAGAAACAGAGGACAAGAAGCCCACTGCACTACAATCTCATCTCACGAATCTACTCAGCAATTATTTCTGCGAGTGTCTTAGCAGCCAAAGGTAAACCATGACATTGATCCTTAATTTCGTCCTCAATCCTTTTCAAGGTTTCACGATGTGCGATGCTTGAAAAATCTTTTTCATTAATAGTCTCCAGAAATATAAGCCAGCATTTTTCTTTGTCCAAAGGCTCAACAATAACCAAGTTATTTTGTTTCACCAGCTTGTTTGCCACTTCCGCTGATCTACTAGTAACAATGACCGCGCCACCTCCACACTTAGGCAATCCGTGCCATAAGCGTTCCTCAATGGTAATGTGTCGATGACACACATCATCCAGCACAATCAAGTACCGCTTACCGGATAAAATTTGGTTAAGCATTTCTAAGAGCTTACCAATGCCTACAATCTTCTTGTCTACAGCATTGCCCAAATTATCAAGAATCCATGCCTCAAAGGTGAACGCACTAAAACCTCCTTCTTCTTCCCACATACCCGAAAAGGGTAACCATATTATAGGGTTAAACTCACCCTTCACTCTCTCGCTCTCCAAAACCTTTCGCACCAGAGTGGTCTTACCCACGCCTGCAATCCCGACTACCCCAATTCCCATAAATGGGGCATGGCTAGAGCCCCCTTCAAGCAAACCCTCAATTTTCTCCACATACTTTTCAAATCCAAAAACTTTCAACGAAAGTATTGGTCCTTTCACGGTGATCAAATCCGGAGGCTTCCTAATTTCTTCTCGTGCGGCCGCCAAATTCTCACGATCCCGTTCTCTTTGGACCGCCAATTTCATAAGATCCTCTTTTATTCTGGTAAGCCGACCCTTCATCCTGTGGGCGAAAACATGGGTTAAAGGGTTGAAGAGTAAGAGCTTCTTATTACGCTTATTGCAATCCCGTATGAAGATTCGGCACTCGGGCAATGCGTCGTTGAGCTCGTAGAGCATACGAATACTGTCACAGTAGGTGTACGGTTCCGGCAGTACTTGTGTCTTTTTGACGACATTTTTTATTGCTCTGAAGTAAGAGAAGAAAGTCGAACCTGATAATTCAGAATCTGCCTCTTCAAGGGAGCTCAAGAACTTGGTCCAGAGAAATTCAGCAACATCCAATGCCATTCCTTGTCGATCACAACCCAAATTTTGTGAATCAATCAATTTTGTGAGTAGAAGAAAAGTCGCCTTTGGTTTGGGCAATTGATCGAGTAACTAGTAGGTGCCATGACACTGGACTTGATTCCAGTCCGGATCCGCTATACCCTACCCTTTTGTTTAACACATTTTCTCTCCGTCAGGACATCTCCAACTCATTTGAGTTGGCTAGAGCTGAACACTAAACCGAGTTCGATTTGCCATTCAAAATACAACTATTTATTGCTCGGACTTTATGTTTTTGGTCAAACGAATAAACATGTCATTACCCACAGGTTATATAAAGAATAATGCTATTCTTAATACATTTATATATCACATTCTCATATCCCTTATGTGGCAGCTGAGGTAAACAATCACATTAATTAAAATTATTTTACTTATTTTTTTCTTCTATGATTTATTCCAATATTTATTTTTTTACTTTTCTTAATTAAAATATACTTCATTGATTTAATTGATATGGCATATGTTATGGACAGAAAAAAACTTGCCTGCACCGGGGATAGGACTACAGTCCTATCCCCGGTGCAGGTAAGTCTCTCTCCACCCCTAGGCTATTGTGATACCATGTTTATAATGTGAATATCTAATTTAAAACCAATTGATAACCGGTGTATAAATCCAAAACCATTAATGCATGACTTCTATTTTCGATGCGGATTGAATGCTCACCTTCTACAAATGTTATTTGCCTGGAATAAAAATGTGGTAAGTGTAGCATTACTCTTATATAAAAGCCCAATACAAAAGCCGCAAAAAATAAAAACAAGAGCTCAACCTATGATGATTTTCAGATGGGACAAATCAGAATAAGGGGATTCCAATTCCATTCCAAAAACATTTGGAATAAAAATTCTTTTCCAATTCCATTCTAAAGAATTTCGGAATTTTAACATTCATTACAATTTGAGATTTTCAGAATTATTGGAAAATTTCATAACTTACATATTTCGGAATCTTTTTGGCAAGTTTCATAAAATCATTTAAAATTTGAGTTTACTATTGAAATACCCCCTGAACTTATAGCTCACTTTCAATTAGCTCCGTCTCCTTTTTTTGTGTGAAAATTAAGGATATAAACTTTTTTTTTTGCCAATTTCCCCCCTGCCGTCTAAATTCTCAACATTTCATCCAATTTGCCGTTAAATATGAGAGTAAATTGGTCATTTTCATGTGAAAATAATTTGAAATTTGAAATAATAATAATAGAAATAAAGTTATAAAAAAATATTTTTTTTTAAAAAAAAACCTCACCTGCCATATCTCTCTCTCTGTCTCTCTACCTCTCTCTGCAATCCCTTCTATCAACCACAGCCACAAACATAGACGCCCCAAAACCCTGGAAACCAACCCTAAGACAATTCTGTTCCCGGCGACAAACGCAGACCCGACACCTTTTGTCGTCCCCCCTCTATGGAAGACCAGCCCTCGGCTCCTACTTCAGGTTCGAGTCCACTTCCTGTAGCCACGGGAGTGGGTGCCGTCCGCCCATAGCGAAGCGCAGCCCGG